GGGACGCCCATCATCTGGGCCGCTGAGCACAAGCACATCGAGGTGATCCGCATGCTGCTGACGCGGGGCGCCGACGTCACCCTCACTGACAATGTGAGCGGGTTTGGGCAGGGCTGGGGGGAGGTGGGGACAGCCCCGGACCCTTGAGCAGAGCGGGGCCAGAGCGAAGGGCCGGGCTAAACTGGCCGTGTCCCCTCCCCTGCACAGGAGGAGAACATCTGCCTGCACTGGGCCTCCTTCACCGGGAGCGCGGCCATCGCGGAGGTCCTCCTGAACGCCCGCTGCGACCTCCATGCTGTCAACTACCACGGGGACACGCCCCTGCACATCGCGGCCCGGGAGAGCTACCACGACTGTGTGCTGTGAGCCCCCGCACACCCACACCCACACCCCAGCCCTGTTGTTGCAGCCGCAGGCACCGTGCATGGGCTCCCTGTCCCCTCCCCAGGCTGTTCCTGTCCCGTGGGGCCAACCCTGAGCTGCGGAACAAGGAGGGGGACACGGCATGGGACCTGACTCCTGAGCGCTCCGACGTGTGGTTCGCGCTCCAGCTCAACCGGAAGCTCCGGCTCGGGGTGGGGAACCGGGCCATCCGCACCGAGAGGATCATCTGCCGGTGAGCCCGGGCCTCTGCGCCCAGGACCGCTACTCGCCCCACCCCAGGTCCCCCTGCACCTTTAGAGCACCCACAAGACCCTCCTGGGACTCTACCACCCTCCCAAGTAGGGTTGACAGAAGCAAATAAAATCAGGAGATGTCAGCTGAGGTAGAATTTCAGATGAGTGGGCACATTTTTGTAGTGTAAGAATGTCCCATACTGGGAACCAGCAGTTAGCGTAATGGCTATGTCACTGGACTCCCACGTAGTCGACCGCGGTTCATGTCCCGGACCCGGTGGCTTAAAAATCACGCCGGGCGGGTGGGCATGTGTCCAATCCCGAGAGGAGAATGGAGGAGAAGGGATTGCGGTGTGACCATCCCCCCTGGGAGGTGATTTCTCGCTTTCTGTCTCTCTGTCTCTCTCTGTCTGGCGAGCGCACGCGCCCTATAGCGAAAACCTCTCAAAAAAAAAGAATGTCCCATGCCAGGACCGGCAGGTGGCATAGTGGACCCAGTGCTGGACTCCCATGAACAGCCACGATTTGAGTCCCAGACACAGTGGCTTGGAAATCACACCGGGCACGAGTGTGTTCATACTCAATTCCAGGAAGAGAATGGAGAAGAGGGGGCTGTGGTATAGCCATCCCACTGGGGGTCATTTCTCACTTTCCCTCTCACTGTCTCTCTCTCTGATGAGCACCTGGGCCCTGTGGCAAAAACTTTTTACAAAAAGAGAAAGAAAAGAATGTCCCAGGCTGTGTCTGGGACAGACCCGCACCAGCGTGGTACTCCTTGTGTACCTGAAACCCGACTTGAACCGGCTGGCCTGCGTTTCATCCAGCAACTTAAATCCCCCATGTCCTGATGAGCCTCACAACTTCCCCCATCCCTTTCCCTGTGACCCAGAACCTCCCCAGCCCTCTCCTCACCCCTGCTCTAGCCCCCGCCCTGTCTGTCACGGCGCAGGGACGTGGCTCGGGGCTATGAGAACGTGCCCATCCCCTGTGTGAACGGTGTGGACGGGGAGCCCTGCCCTGAGGATTACAAGTACATCTCCGAGAACTGCGAGACATCCACCATGAACATCGACCGCAACATCACACACCTGCAGGTGAGCGAGGGCCCCGGGGCCTCCCGAAGGGACACGAGAGCCGCCACGTACAGGCCGACAAGGGCACCTGGTCAAGGGAGAGGGGTCGCGTCCCGCCCAGGGAAGGGTTCTTTATCCTAGGTCCCTGGGGAGTATCCTATGAGCCAGCGTCTTGATATACCCTCCCTGGGACCATCACCACCCCTGTTCTGAAACGCGAACCCAGAGAAGGGATGGCGGGGTGGGGGGCAGGAGGCCTGGCGTCCCGCTGACTGTGCCCCCTGCTCCAGCACTGCACGTGTGTGGACGACTGCTCCAGCTCCAACTGCCTGTGCGGCCAGCTCAGCATCCGGTGCTGGTATGACAAGGTGCGTGCCCCGCCTGGCCCCTCCTTCAGGAAGCCAACCTCCACGCCGACTCGGGAAACTTCCCACCTCCTTCCCCATGGAGGAAGTGACAGAGAGTCCAGGGCAAGACTGGGGAGTCCTGGGACAGTGCCAGGACTATGGGCTGCCGCACCCAGGCACATGCAAAACCCGAGTGATGCTGTGCAGTTCCTGGTCCCTGTCCTCTGTGCGCAGCCTCCCGCCAGCCCCGTCCTTCCCGGCCCTGCACTGGGGCCAATGGATTTTTCTCCTTTTGTTCTGATTTATTTTTTTACCCTTAATTCAGTGGGGGGCACATGCACTCGTCAAAGAAAGAGGCAAAGAGGGAGAGGGAAAGTGAGAAAGTGCCTCCCAAGGAGGACGGCCACACCGTAGTCATTTATCCTCCGTCCTCAGGATTTTGAGCACACACGCACCTGACATGTGTTTGTTTTCCGTCCTCAGGATTTTGAGCGCACATGCACCACACATGTGTTTGGTTTTGTTGTTTTTTTTTTTTTTTTAGAGGTTTTTGCTATAGGTCGTGTGCGCTCGCCAGACAGAGAGAGACAGAGAGATAGAAAGCGAGAAATCACACCTCAGGGGGGATGGCCACGCCTCAATCCCTTCTCCATTTTCCTCTCAGGATCCTGGGCACGCACGCACACGCACCTGGTATGAGTTTAAGCCACCAGATCCGGGACTCGAACCGTGGTCAACTACGTGGGAATCCAGCAACACAGCCATTATGCTAACTGCTGGTCCCACCTGACATGTTTTCAAATCCCTGGTCTGGGACTTAAACTGTGCAACTGGCCATGTGGGATCCAGCTCCCCAACCACCAGGCCATGGGATAGTCCAAGTTTTGTTTTGTTTTTTGTTTTATTTAAGAAGTTTTTGTTCTTTTTTGAGAGGTTTTTGCTATAGGGTGTGTGCGCTCGCCAGACAGACAGAGAGACAGAAAGCGAGAAATCACCCCCCAGGGGGGGTGGCCATGCCGCAATCCCTTCTCCATTGTCCTCTCGGGATCTTGGGCATGCACGCACACATGCCCGGCGTGAGTTTTAAGCCACCGGGTCTGGGACGCGAACTGTGGGAGTCCAGCAACATAGCCATTGCGCTAACTGCTGCTCCTGCAAGTTTGTTTATTTTGAGAGAGGGACAGGCACCCCAAACCAGGTCTTTGTGCTGTGGTCTGTTCTCAGCCTCAACCCCCAGGCACAGGTGTGAACTCGGGGCCTTCTCAGTGTGGGTCCGGTTGAACTGCTGCTGTGCCCCACCCGGCCCCAGCAGTGGGATTTTCTGTGGACCCTGGGAAGTCTCGGGCAGCTGAGGTGGGCCCCACATAGAAACCACTGCCTTCCCTCCCTCTGCACCCTAGGACGGGCGGCTGCTCCAGGAATTTAACAAGATCGAGCCCCCGCTGATTTTCGAGTGTAACCAGGCATGCTCCTGCTGGAGGAACTGCAAGAACCGCGTGGTGCAGAGCGGCATCAAGTGAGGCCCCTCCCGCCGCACCCCTGCCCTGCCCCACCCCCAGGGACTCCGTCCGAACTCACCCGTTCTCCTCCTCAGGGTGCGGCTACAGCTCTACCGGACAGCCAAGATGGGCTGGGGGGTCCGGGCCCTGCAGACCATCCCGCAGGGGACCTTCATATGCGAGTGAGTCTGCTGGAGGGGGCTGGGGTGACAGGGGCACGGCCACTGCTGGCTCCAGGCCGCCTGCTCTGCCCTCCCGCCATGGATCGCATCTCCCCCTACCTTGGCCTGTTTCACGGACTCAGAGCCCCTCTCCCCGCCCGGCCTAGCTGGAATCAGACCTGGGTTTGGGCCCCGCCTGTCTCCCGGGTGTCCTTGGCCAAGTTTTAACTTCTCGGAGCCTTTCCCCCTCTGAAATGGGGAACAGCTCCTCAGCCCGCCTGTTCCTTCCCATCCTCTTGTCCTAGTCCCTGTAACCCCTCCCTCTCCCCGGCTCTGCGCCGTGGCTCGCAGACTAAACGTAGGTCATTTTTTTGGCCTTAAAAAAAGGAGCTGGGGGACCTTTAGCCCCACTCGCCTATTCTAGCGACCATCTGCTTTCCCCCGTGTCATCTCAGCCTCTTAGACGAGGAGCCCTTTCCCGGGCCTGTTTCCCACCGTCCGTCCACTCACTGTTCGCCCTCCCTAGTCTGCCCTGCCCTCGCCTGTTGATCCAGCTGTCCACCGTCACGTCCACCCCGGCCCCGTTACACGGCTCTGGCTGCCTGGTCTGTCCTCACCCTGGACCAGCCTGCCCACCCTTCCCCGGCACCAAGTCCCCCCTCTGCTTTCGAACCACGGGTGTCCTCACACCCGACTCATTCCCCGAGTTCCTCTTCGCTCCTGTGGCTCTGTCTCTGCAGCCCTGTGTCACCTGCCACCTGCACAGACCTCGCTGTGTCTGAACCCGTTTCCCCACCCAAGCTCATTGTCCCAAATGCTAACCCCATCGCCCCAGAGGCCTGGCGTCTGCCCTTCCGCTTCCCCACCGCTGGCCTCCAGCTGGCGGGACTGTGCTGTGTTGTCCCTCCCCTGCCGGGGTCCCTGCGCTCCCTCCCCTCCCCTTCAGGCCCCCACTGCTCCGTGGGTTGCCCACCCCTGCCCCAGGAGTGCCAGTCTGGAAGTCACGGTGGCAGGCGGGGTGCACAGCGGGAGAGGGGTGCACTAGGAGAGACGGCCTGGAGCCGCCCGTCAGAACCGCCCGCTCGCGCCCACAGGTACGTAGGGGAGCTGATCTCCGATGCCGAGGCCGACGTGAGAGAGGACGACTCTTACCTCTTCGACTTGGACAACAAGGTGGGCAGGGAGCCCGTGCGTCCCGTCCTCCCGGTGCTGGCTTTCCGAGCCCCCTGGGCCGTCGGCAGGGGAAACCTGGGGCCTGGGGGCGGGCCTGGGTGGGGGCGGGGTGTGAAGAGCGCTGCCCTCCGCACAGGACGGAGAGGTCTACTGCATCGACGCCCGTTACTACGGCAACATCAGCCGCTTCATCAACCACCTGTGTGACCCCAACATCATCCCCGTCCGCGTCTTCATGCTGCACCAAGACCTGCGCTTCCCACGCATCGCCTTCTTCAGTTCCCGGGACATCCGGACCGGGGAGGAGCTGGGGTGAGCCTGTGGCGGAGGCCGGGGGCGCCCATTTCCGGGCGTGGATTCCTCGAAACAGCGCGCTGGGCCCCGTCGGGGGTTCCTAGCAAGTTCCCTGGTGGTCCTAGAGCCACAAGTCCCCAAGTCCTCCAGGGCTGAGAGCCCACCTGGGGAGCTGTGCCGGGTCCCTTCCGGGGAGTGGGACCACTGGGCCTTGGCGTGGGCTCTGGCCAGGCAGCCGGATTCAGGTCCCATGAGCCCCACGCTCCTCACAGGTTTGACTATGGCGACCGCTTCTGGGACATCAAAAGCAAGTACTTCACCTGCCAGTGTGGGTCCGAGAAGTGCAAGCACTCCGCAGAGGCCATCGCCCTGGAGCAGAGCCGCCTGGCCCGCCTGGACCCCCACCCCGAGCTGCTGCCAGAGCTCGGCTCCCTGCCCCCCGTCAGCACCTGAGAACGGACCACGGCCCGCCCCACCCCGAGGGCCACCAGCTCCCCAGCTGCCCCTGCCACTGGGCGCTGCCCTCTCCCCACTGCCCCTGCACACATTCCTCAGCAGAGCCCCAGCCAGGCCCTGGAGGTCTGACAGCCCCTCTCTCCCAGAGCTGGCTCCTCCTGGGAGGTGACTTCAGGGCTGGCCGCCCCACCCCCACCCCAGCCCATGTTTGATGAATTGAAATCGGGCCTCTATGCCACCTGGGTTTTTGTTCTCAATAAACGTTGGGTTTAGTATACACTGGGTGATTGTTGGAGTGGGGGTGCTGGGAGGGAGGACACAGCCAGAGGGAATGGGGGTCCAAGGGGCAGAGCAGGATGGGAAGCAGGCTGTACGGCTGTGGCGGCTGTGGACGGCTTGGGGGGTTCGGACCACTGCAGCGGTCTGGTCAGGGCCTAGATGGGGGCGAATCTCAGCCTTTGACAGAGTGGGGAGGACATGGGCAAATTGGGAAGCTGGGCCCATGGTTCCCCCGGCAGGCAGACCCTGAGCCCCTGTCACAGACTCCCTTCCTGGCCCAGAGCAGGGAGTCGAGAAGAAGGAACTAGAGTGTGTCAGGGACCACGGCAGGGGTGGGGCAGTGACGTGTGGGAGGGCGGGGCCGTTGGCAGGTGAGACGCCAGGTCTCCAGGGCTCCAGTCACTCCAGAGACAGCCATGGGGGGGAAGAAGGACAAGGACGAGGACAAGGCCCATGGTGAGGTCGGGGGCTGAGGCTGGGACCCTGTGCAGGAAGGGGAGGCCGGCTCTGCAGGGGCCGGTGCTGGGCTAGCTCCTGGCAGAGGGGTGAAGGAGAGTCCCAAGTCCCTAAGGGGAGGGCCTGGGAAGGAAGCGGACAGGTGCTGGGAGGAGGATGGGGGCTGGGGCTGCTGCTGGGGAGCCTTCAGGGAGGGAAGCTGGGGTTCGGGTGTCTGTGACAAATTAGGGGTCCCTGGGAAAAGGGGGGGTTTCAGGCTGGGCCTCGGCCCCTGAGGACAGTGCTCTGGGAAACATCCCGGATGGAAGGAGGCAGGGCTGGGGCCGGAGTGCGTGAGCTGCGGGCCTGCAGGTGAGGCTGGGGCGGCCTGGACTCTGGGTCCCTGCGTCCCTGGGTCCCTGGGTCCCTGAGCAAGGGAGGTGCTGGGATCTGCCTGTTTGGGTCTCTGTGAGGAGAGGCAGGAGGGGTGGGTGCTGCTGGGGGTCCCTGTGTGGGCTTGGGGTTGAGAGTCTTCAGGGGAGGGGCCTGGGGGCCTGCCCTGGGGTCTCAGGAGCAAGGGCTGGGCGCCTGTCCCAGGTACTTTGAGGACTCAGGCAGGGCCTCCTGGGGTTCCTGTGGGGGGGCCGGGCCTGAAGAGGGAGGCAGTGGGCAGTCTCCCCCAGTTCTGAGAGGAGAAAGAGCTGGAGCCGGTCCCAGGGGTTCCGAGGACAGTGGGAGCCGTGAGCCGTAAGGGCCGGGGCCCTGCACGCA